CTACAGGGCCAGCTCCCGCCTGTAATCCCAACACTTTGGGAGGCTGAGGCAGGTGGATCACGAAGTCAGGAGTTCGAGACCACCCTGGCCAACATGGTGAAACCTCATCTGTCCTAAAAATACAAAAATTAGCTGGGCACGGTGGTGGGTGCCTGTGAGCCCAGCTACTCAGGAGACTGAGGCAGGAGAATTGCTTGAACCCGGGAGGCAGGGGTTGCAGTAAACCGAGATTGCGCCACTGCATTTCAGCCTGGGAGACAGAACAAGACTCTGTCTCAAAGAAAACAAAAAAATAAAAAATAAAAAAATCAATAGCTACAAGTGGCTAGTGGCTACTCTATTGGACAGTACAGTTGTAGACCTACATTGCCAACTGCCTGTGGACATCTTGATTAGGATGTCTCTCTGGCTCCTCAACAAATCCCAAACTGAGCTTATTAGCATCACACTCTCCCCTACCTTCGCCTCCATGCCCATTAGCAAAATGAAAACCTTCTCTTTCTCTTGATTTCCCTTCCTGAATTGACAGCATCAACACTCATGCCTTTACCCAAAGCCTAAACTTCTAGACTTCCAGGCTCTTCCTTTTCATTCATCTTCTATAATTATGTGGTTAATTCTCCCTCCTAAATTTCTTGTAGCTCCATCCTTACCTTTCCAAACCTTCTCAAAGGCTTGAGTTCAGAATTAAAGCTTCTCTTGTCAGGCTATTACCAATTCCCTGCACCCAGCCTCTGCCAAGCCACCAGCAGACCTCTGAGCTGGACAGCCTTCCTTTGCTTCTCCAGATGCCTTCTCCGTCTCCACCCTCTCCATCCTGATGCCCTAGTAGCTGGCTTCTATAGACTCTGTCACCTGGACTTCTTTGCTCTTGGACTTCCAACTAGTTCAGGAAGATTGGAAGGCGGGAAGAGGTTGGTGTATATAACCCCTGAGCTCCTAGGGTTGTCAGTGGCTGCCTTGCTCTACCGAAACGCATGTCCATGAGGTGGCCACTGGATTCTGGTTCTCACTCTTTTCACTTGCTGCTTCCAGCCTAGATGCAGTAAGAGTTCCCTGCTGTGGTTCTGCTGGGGCACTGAGCCGCCCTTTGTTGTTTCCCTAATCACTTCTCCATCCCCCTGCACATCACCCCCCAACTGTTTTGTTTTTTGTTTATTTGTTTGTTTTTTTGAGACAGGATCTCACTCTTGCCTAGGCTAGAGTACAGTTGCCCAATCATGGCTCACTGTAGCCTCGACCCCCTGGGTTCAAGTGATCCTTCCAACTCAGCCTCCCAAGTAGCTGGGACAACAGGTGTGTACCACAACACCCAGGTAAGTTTTTTTGTTCTCGTTTTAATTTTTAGAGATGAGGGTCTCACTATGTTTCCCAGGCTGGTCTCGAACTCCAGGGCTCAAGCAATCCTCCCACCTTGGCCTTCCAAAGTTAGAATTACAGGCGCAAGCCACTTTGCCCAGCCTTTCTCAAACCTTTATTCATGGTCCATTTATTAAACTCTCCTTGGTTGTCCAGATTCAGTGTGTTATCCGTTTCTTCTGGGACTTGATTGATATTTCTAAGCTTTGAAATGCCTCATCGTCATCCACAGGAGAAAAATAAAGCCTGTGCTTACTTGAAGAGCACCTGAAGTCACTTATGATCTGTTTCCTGCCTGCTCTTTCCACTTCATCTCCCACCTCTCCTTCTCTTGCACTTTATAGTCCTATGATGCCAGGTTGCTTATATGCCTAGAAGGGGCCCTATTGTTTCCCACCTCCATGCCTATGCCTGCCAAACTCTTGCTTAACCTTTAAAACCATTCTCCAGATGTTGCCTCCTCTGTGAAGTCCCCCAGGCCTTCCTTTCTACTTCTACTGTATTTTGTAGATATTTCCATTATTTATGACATCATGATATATTATAATTTCTTGTTTAGGTCTGTATTGTCTTTTCTGCCCATAGAGTGCCTCTTAAGGAAAGGACTAGACCAGATGTGGTGGCTGACACCTGTAATTCTAGTGCTTTGGGAGGCTGAGGCAGAAGGTTCACTTGAGGCCAGGAGTTCAAGACTAAGCTCAGCAACGTAGTGAGATTCCGCCTCTACAATAAAATTTAAAAATTAGCTGGGCAGGGTGTCATACACCTGCAGCCCCAGCTACTCGAGAAGCCGAGACAGGAGGATCACTTGAGCCCAAGAGTTTGAGGCTACAGGGCTACAGTAAGCCATAATCACATCACTGCACTCTAGCCCAGGTAAGAGAGTGAGACCTTATCTCTTATCAAAAAAAAAAAAAAAAAAAAAGTAAGGCTATAAATATTAACAAATAAATAAATATATTTAACAAAATATTTATTGATCCTGGCATTCTAGGCGCTAGATAGCTAGAGATATCAGTAGTGACCCCTTTCTACAAGCACTGTGAGAGAAGTACGATTGTCCCTATCTTAGAGGACACCCAGAAGGCCGAGGCTCCTGTGATGTGCCAGGTTCAGAAAACTGGCAAGAGGTTTGGATTTGGTGTGAAACCGAGTCCTTCTAGCTGCACAGTTCATACTTTTGGCAACAGTTGTATGTTGCTGTGGGTCTTGCCAAGAATAGTTTTATTAAGACTGGCGTTACAGGTTGAATTGTGACCCCCTCCCATACTCACAAAAGGATCCACTGAAGTCCCGACGCCCACTGCTTCAGAATGGGCCTTATCTGGAAAGAAGGTCTTTACAGAAGTAATCAGGTTAAAATGAGGGTCAAGGCTGGGGGCAGCAGCTTACGCCTGTAATCCCAGCACTTTGGGAGACTGTGGCAGGAGGATCACTTCAGCCTGGGAGTTTGAGACCCACCAGGGCAACACTGTGAGACACTATCTCAATTATATTTATAAATATATATACACACATATATGTACATATTGTTACATATTTATTTACTATATATTTATAGTTTAAATATATTTTATTTAATATATATTTATATAATATATAATAAAATTATATATTAAATAAAATATAAACAAATATGTTATATATTCATGTATTATATATAAATTTAACATTTATACATAATAGAATATTAAAATAATATTTATATAAGCTATATATTATGTTTATATTAATTATATTAATATGAATACAGTTTATATTAGATTTATAATTTAACATTTATGCATAATAGAATATAAAAATAATATTTACATAAGCTATATATTATGTTTATAATATATTAATTATATTAATATGAATATAATAGAATATAAAATAATATTTACATAAGCTATATATTGTGTTTATAATATATTAATTATATTAATATGAATATAGTTTATATTAGATTTATAATTTAACATTTATACATAATAGAATATGCGTAAATAATATTTATATAAGCTATATATTATGTTTATAATATATTAATTATATTAATATGAATATAGTTTATATTAGATTTATAATTTAACATTTATACATAATAGAATATGTAATAATATTTATATAAGCTATATATTATGTTTATACTATATTAATTATATTAATATGAATATAGTTTATATTAGATTTATAATATTTATTTTTTCATTATATATATGAAAAATAATAAAATGAGGTCAGGGGGCCCTAATCTAATACGATTAGTGTCTTAGTAAACAGAAAATTTGGACACAGAAATACAGAGGGGAGGTGGTGTGAAGATGTGGGGAAGAGACAGTCATATAAATAGGGATGCCAAGGATGCTGGCCAGCAACTGAAGCTGAAAGAGACGAGGAAGCATTCTTAACCCAGAGCCATCAGAGAGAGTACGGCCCAGCTGACGCCTTGCATTTAGACTTTGAGGCTCCATAACTGGGAGATAATAAATGTCTGTTGTTTTAAGCCTTTCAGCTTTTGGTTCTTTGTTATGGCAGCCCCAGGAAACACATACATCTGGGGAGGCTCAAGCCCCTCCTCGCTGGGAAGCGGGGGGGGGGGGGGGTTTGGGGGGGGCGTTGGGATCCTAACTGGATGTGGAGTCCCCCTGGGGCCCTACTGGGAGTGCCAAGTGGATCCTGGCAGTCACTGAGTAGGCGTCTTTGCGTCATTTTGCTCCAGTATTGACCTGACAACTCAACAATTATTTTTCTTTTTCTTTTTTTCTCAGAGACAGACTCTTGCTATGTTGCCCAGGCTGGTGTTAAATTCCTGGGCTCTCGCTCTGCATATTCTCAGTGCAATAAAAAAAGAAAAAATAACGTGGCAGTCAACAATTTTATTTTTTGGTGTTTTTTTGTTTTGTTTTGTTTGTTTGTTTGAAACGGAGTCTCACTCTGTCACCCAGGCTGGAATGCAGTGGCGTGATCTCAGTTCACTGCAACCTCTGCCTCCTGGGTTCAAGCGATTCTCCTGCCTCAGCCTCCCAAGTAGCTAGGATTACAGGCATGCACCACCACACTTGTCTAATTTTTGTATGTTTAGTAGAGACAGCATTTCACCATGTTGGCCAAGCTAGTCTCGAACTCCTGACCTCAGGTGATCTGCCCGCCTCGGCCTCCCAAGTGCTGGGATTACAGGCGTGAGCCACTGTGCCTGGATGCAGTCACTGATTTTAAATTACGCTTCCAACTGGCTCCGGTGACCCCATAAGTCTGTGACATGCAGTAATTTGTAAACCTGAGTCTCCTGTCCCAAGGATGTGATCCTCAGCATGCTCAAATTCTCAGCTCCCAGCACAGGGCCTAACACCCCCCAGGTTTCCAGTGCTGGGCACTGAGTCAATAAATTCTGCTCAACTAAGGCACCAGGAGTCCGTGGAGTGCTTGGGATCTGGACGGGTGTTGAGGAGCCTGGTAGAGCTATTGTCTCCCTTCCCAAAGGCCAGCCCCCAGGACATATTCCAGTCTCATGCCATGGTCAAAACAAACAAGTCAAGTTTCAGGATGCTCTAGTGGGTTCTACTGACTGTTTCCCAGGGTGAGTCACTGCTTCAGGGAGAGAAGCGGGCTGGGACTCAAGTGCCTGTGCTTGCTTTTTCTTTCTTCTGTCTTTCCAGGAAGCCCTTGGAACAGGATGTAAAAGCAGCACTTTCCATCCAGCCTGACATCCTGCTTCCAGATGCAGAAGGCTGAGCAGGCCACCAGGATCACATTTAAGTGGCTGTGGCCATGATGTTCCAATTTGAAACCTGGACTCCACTAACTTCCATACTCATCCTTTGCTCTCAGCCCTCTCCCTCCCCTCTCTAGGTCCTCAGGATGATCTGAAATATATATTACACTTTTCTTCCTCACTAAATGTCAACATGTTGGAAAGCAGGGACCTTGATATATTAATCCTTAGGGCCTTGGGTTCTGCTGTAGTTAAGACGCAACAAATGTTGGGTAAAATGAATTTTAAAAACAACTTGTTGCCGGGCATGGTGGCTCATGCCTGTAATCCCAGCACTTTGGGAGGCCGAGGCGGGTGGATCACCTGAGGTCAGGAGTTCGAGACCAGCCTGTGCAACATGGTGAAACCCAGTCTCTACTAAAAATACAAAAATTAGCCTGGCGTATTGGCAGCACCTGTAGTCCCAGCTACTTGGGAGGCTGAGGCAAGAGAATCACTTAAACTCGGGAGGCAGAGGTTGCAGTGAACCAAGATTGTGCCATTGCACTTCAGTCTGGACGACAGAGCAAAACTCTATCTCAAAAAAAACAAAAAACAAACAAACAAAAATACTGGGGAGAATCAGGCATAGTGGTGCATTCCCGTGGTCTCAGCTACTTGGGAGGCTGAGATGGGAGGATAGCTTGAGCCCTGGAATTTTTTTTTCTCTTTTCTTTTATTATTATTTATTTGTTTTTTAATTGAAACAGAGTCTTGCTCTGTCACCCAAGCTGGAGTGCGGTGGCACAATCATAGCTTACTAGAGCCCAGCCTCGATCTCCCTGGGCACAAGTGATCCTCCTCCCTCAGCCTCCCAAATAGCTGGGACTACAGGCAGGTACCACCATCCCCAGCGAATTTTCGTATTTTTTTTTGTACAGACAGGGTTTCACCATGTTGCTCAGGCTGGTCTTGAACTCCTGCCCTCAAGTGATCATCCTGCCTTGGCCTCCTAAAGTGCCAGGATTATAGGCGTGAGCCACTGTGCCCTGCCATATTTTTTTTCTTTTTTTATTGGACTGAGAATATGTAGAGCAAGAGCCCAGGAGTTTAAGGCCAGCCTGGGCAACACAGCAACAGTCCGTCTCTAAGGAAAAAAGAAAGAAAGATAAAAAAGCAATTGTGGAGTTTTCAGGTCAATACTGGAGCAAAATGACACAAAGAAGCCTACTCCGCTGGGGTTTGCTGGGCACCCATCCCATCGGGGTCCCACTGGCACCACCCAGTTAGTGATCCTCTTAAACAAGGACTCCACAATTTTACAGTCTCCTCATCCTCTTTTTTCCGAGGTTCTCAAAGCTCCAACTCCCAGAGTAGGTGACAGGAGCTGAAATGAACTGATGTTTATGTGGAACATGACTGACGGTGCTATTAAGTGAAATAGATGCCAGAGGTTTTTGCAAGTGTCTAATAAAGGGAATGGGACTTTTAATATCCCTGGGTCCATGATGAGAGCTGAGCACCCCAGAATGGGCAGGATAGGAGCATAGAGGATCAAGGAACATGAGTGACCACAGGTCAAATCCCGTGGCCCAACCCCGGCCTCACATTTGGTAGCAGCCTGTTTGGGTAAACCCATCAGGGTACGATTCCCCACGACTCTAGCTAAGAAAATACATTTATTCATGCAGTATCATTGTCTGGGCCTCTGTGTGGCAGCAGTTCTGCTTGTGCCAGGGAAAAGCTTTTAAGATTTTTCCATGTGAAAAGTGCCACAATGGCACTATCATTCAACCTGTTGAATGACAGTACTGAGCTAGGGGATGCACCTGACCATCAGGCATCTATTGAGCCCTTATTGGGACCATTATTATTAGTAGTAGTATTAGTATTATTATTATTATCATTACTATTTTGTGACAGAGTGTCACTCTCGTTGCCCAGGCTGGAGTGCAATGGCATGATCTCAGATCACTGCAACCTCTGCCTCCTGGGTTCAAGCAAATCTCATGCCTCAGCCTCCCGAGTAGCTGGGATCACAGGTGTGCACCACCACACTCAGCTAATTTTTGTATTTTTAGTAGAGACAGGATTTCACCATGTTGTCCAAACTGGTCTCAAACTCCTGACCTCAAGTAATCTGCCCGCCTCCATCTCCCAAAATGCTGGTGTGAGCCACCACGCCTGGCCAGAGCCCTTATTATTAAGCCTTTGGGAAACCTGGTGGTCCCTTGTTTCTGGGAGGTCATCTTATTGATACCGAACTTACTGCAGACGCCCAGTTGGTATAGTGCACTATAGCCCAGAGCTCCAGGACTCAAGCAATCCTCCTGCCTCAGCCTCCCAAGCAGCTGGGACTACAGGTGCATGCCACCAGACCTGTATGCATGAATACCAGGCATAAAGTCACATTGGGGCCACCCTGGAGGCCGGCTACTGCTAGTAGTGAATTGTGTCTAGAGACCATGAGCTCCACAGGAGTTCAGATGAAAGGGAGAGAAATGAAAGGTAGAGGGCTCAGGGCATGTTCAGATTATTATCTGGTCTATAAGCTAGATCTTGAGGGAATGTCTTTCCTCATTTCTTTCTCTACATATTCCTCCCTTCAGCAAAACTCAGAAAGAAAGGAGGATGGAGGACAGGACTCACAGTCAGAAGGGCAAGAAGGAAGCAGGGAAATGTGAGGAAACGTTTAAAAATAGTCGAGCAGGGCCTGATTTAGGGGCGGTGAAGAGTAGACTGACATTGAAAAGAATAAAAAGTTTATAAATAATGAAGATGAGGCCAGGCGCATTGGCTCACACCTGTAATCCCAGCACTTTGGGAGGCTGAGATGGGCGGATCACTTGAGGTCAGGAGCTCGAGACGAGCCTGGCTAACGTGGTAAAACCCTGTCTCTACTAAAAAAAAAAAATACAAAAAATTAGCCTGGCATGGTGGCACACTCCTATAATTTCAGCTACTTGGGAGGCTGAGGCAAGAGAATCATTCGAACCTGGGAGGCGGAGGTTGAAGTGCGCTGAGATCTCGCCACTGCACTCCAGCCTAGGGGACAGAGCAAGACTTTGTCTCAAAAAAAAAAAAAAAGATATAATAAGATGAAAGAAGCTGAAAGAAGCAGTGGACCCATCAAGGAGGGCCCAAAAAGCCAAGAAAACACATTTTAACTAGTTGGAGTAGAAAGTAAATGTTCAGGGCCTAAGACTTTGAAAACAAATTCCTGCAGGTTTGTTTAAACTGGAGGATTTGAGGCTGGGTAATGGATGGTGGGAGGTGTGGGGGTGGAGGGGTGGGGGTGTGGCAGATTGTGGGAGGGTGTGTGGAGGGTGTGGGGATGGGTTGGGGGGGTGGGGGGCGGTGTGTGTAAAACTTCTCCTCTAAAGGACATTTGCTCCTACACAAGTTAAGTCCTGATGGGGTCAAGGCAATACCAGGAAAGGGACTTTAATAGCTTCCTTATATCAGAATAGGAAGCACAAGTTGATAAGAAGTTGGAATCCAGTATCCCAACTGGAGGGGAAGCCTCCCCAAAGGAAAAGCTGCAGTGGGAGATAGTCTGTGTTTACACAGCACGCCTGTAATGTCTGCAGTTTACACAAACCGTATCCTCGGGCCAGCCTGAAGATAGAACTGCCTGACCTAGAAAAGCCTGGGTCTGGGAGCGGTGCCCAGCCAGCTCCGGGAGGAAGCGTCTGCCCAGACCCACCCAGCCAGGGGGCTCTAAGCTGCTGGGACATGCTGGGGGCTGGGGGAGAGGGGTGGGGACTGTCCGCACACTGCTGGCTCCATACTGCAGGCTGGGCAGAGCCATGACAATACCTTAAGTATCCCCTTCATGTCCTGCACAGAATTACAAGTTCAGTTCTTCCAGTTTATTCCAATGAGAAATAGGGAGTACCTCATGACACCCCCACTTCATGACTTTGGTCCACTCATCAAAACCATAATAAAACCTAATGTTTTGTAGACCAGTGTGGGGTTCCCTGGTGCTCCCAATAGGCCGCTCAGTGGTTTGCAGATCTGCGCTGCTTAAAGAAGTGGACATGAGTCAGGCTTTTATGGGTTTGAATGCGCACCATTCTTTGAGTATGACCTTGGACAAGTGCATTTTACTGCTCAGAGCTCAGTTTTTCCATCTGAGCAATGAGGAGAAGGCTAATAGATGGGAAGCCCTTGAACGGTGCCCAGCATGCAGCAAGAGCTCAGCAGACAACAAGCGCCATCATCATCTTATTATCTTTGCATTATTATTCCACATCTCTGTGTCTCTACCCCACGTGGTTCCCCAGCCCAGAATGATCTTCTTCCCCTCTGCTGCCTAGGCGGGAATGCAATGGCCCCATCTCAGCTGCCTCCCAGGTTCGAGGGATCCTCGGCCTCCCAAGTAGCTGGGACTACAGGTGCATGCCACCATGCCCAGCTAATTTTTGTATTTTTAATAGAGATGGGGTTTTGCCGTGTTAGCCAGGCTGGTCTCCAACTCCTGACCTCAGGTGATCCACCCGCCTCGGCCTCCCAAAGTGCTGGGATTACAGGCATAAGCCACCATGCCCAGCCTCTTCCTCTTCTTTTGAAACTCATGCCAAGCTCCAGGCTGGTTCTTACTCTCAGAGTCCTGGGCAGCTGTCCCTGCCCCCATCATGGCGCAGAGCACTTAGCACTGTAGGAGCTGGGTGACACATTTGCCTCGCCCAGGTTGACTGTGATCACCCCATAAACTCTTACTCCCAGCATCTAGCCCAGTGCCCGACCCAGGGCGGGCACTCCTCACATGTCTGAACAAGGCAGTGTTGGGCTTGTTTCACATAACAGAAAGTGCAGTCCATGGGTCAGTCGCTGAGTGCCAGCAGCCTGAGTCCCAAGAGGCTTGCTTTTGACCCGGACTGTCTGCGCGCAGCGACTGGACATTGCGAGACTCAGGGGAGTGGAAGATTAGGGAAGCTGAGGGGAAGGGGAGGAGCAATTTCCCCAGAAGAGCCTCTTCCATGAGGCACAGCAAAACCTAAATTCACATTAGAAGTAATGCATTTCCCAGGGAAGGCGTCGGGGTAAGAAATAGCAAGTCAGAGAGCCCAGGGGTTGCCTTCTAGCCTTTTCCCCTCACTGCTGAGTATGAAGCGCCTTTAATTCGAATCCCATTTGGACCCAGCACCTCAAAGAGTTCCCTAGAACAAAGGAGTGTTTCTCAACAAACTCAGAGACAAAGTCCAGGGTCACTGTGATTCAGAGGGTGGGGTGGGTGTTACACATTTTACATTTACTTTTTAAAAACCCATTAAAAAAAATACAGATTCCAGGGTCTGGGTTCAGTTATCTGTCTTAGGGAGTCATGTCCTAACCAACAGAATCACCCTGGTTCACTGAACTTTTCAGTGTCCA